AGTAAGTACATTCTATTTGTTTCCAATGTGATTGGTCTCACTTTAAGAACTTTGCCCCAAAGATGTTAAGAGTTATTCTTTACCTATGTCCCTCATTATATTACAGATTGAAATGTCATTATGACCTGGGGATATTGGTATATCAACGAGTTTGAATCACAAGTCCACACCCTCTTGCTTTAGGTACATGAGAGGAACTGACAAGAAAAGTACTAGAAGTAAGGTGTGAGTCAAATCTATAATTGTGAATATTTTCACTCATAAACATAGATGATTACCAACTCAATGGAAAGCAAATCTTCCTGGATCCAAAGAAGTGAAGAGATTCTTTAGGAAAAAAGGAATTTTGATTTAATAGTTGGCGTAGAAAGCAGCGTCATTTTGCAATTTGCATTCTCACAATTTCAAAAATTCCAAAGCATTCTTTAATATTTACACTTGTGGTAGATATACCAGGTAGGTGACTTCAGTTTATAAGGATTGAAGGGAAACAGTCAGTCAAGCACATACCAAAATTCAAATATTCCACTCAATTAACACGTCACTATCTGACATTCAAAGTACAGGAGAGGACAGTCTGGAAAATGGGTTTAAATTGCCTCATATATCACAGAAGTTATATATTGATATATATAGGTGTCAGCGAGAGTCCAAGTTTTTGTAAAATTGCTCTAAAATAATTAAAACTGAAAACTAGAGGACAGTGCCCATAAACTCATACTTAAATACTATGGTTAATACGCATGTACTGTGATTGTGATGATGCTTATAGCGTTTTAGAGATTTCAAGGCTAATTTAAAATAAATACTGCAAAACTAAGGGCTGGGAATGAGGAACAAAATGAAGACTCACATCTTCACTCTCAGCTTCACCAACATACCGCCATGTTTTATTATTATATGTTGTAAAAAATACTGTAACATATTCCAGAGCACGAGAGAGTAATTTGCAGTGCGGGAAGCATTTCTATATAAAAGTGGGTCTGCTTGCCATAGATTTAAGAGGACACTATAGGACCTTCTCATCAAGTGATCTGGATGCAATGTAAAACAATGCAGTTTTTGAGAAAGTGCAATGTTTAATGTCTATCAGACAGCTACTAGAGGCACGTTTTGTAGTTTCACAGAGTTTGACTCAGTGAAACGATGCTGGACGTCCTTGTGCTGAGGATGTCCAGTGTCTACAAAAGGCCTAATGTGCCTGCAGTTGGAAGGTTTTTTTTTTAACTCTTTGGTTGCCATGGGAGGGCACTAATTTTTGTCTAAACTTGCTATCTACGCACTCATACACATTGCACAGGTCAAACACTGCTGCAGCTCTTCATGGAGACTCAACTGTCCCTAAGCAGAAAAGTACAACAACGTGTTCTCATTCTGTTTTCACTAGAAGGTATTAATTTGTGAGGTAATGTTTACTGTTGCAAGAATCCTGTGGTAAACCTTCCTTAGAACACACTGTTCCAAACACAACATTAGCCCCCTAAGGATATGATAAAATGTACTTCTAGAGTGTTCTAGTTATAGGGATAGACACAAACACATGTTAAGGACTGGCCAATGACATCAGCGGGTGGGTGACCTAGCAATAAGTGGAATGTGCCCTGCTGACTCTATTAGGTCAACATTACCACCTTCCAACTCCTTCCTGCCATTATATTAACAATGCATGACTATGTTCCATTTTGATCTTATTTTTGTATTTTTATAGACTAACTTATAAACTTCATAAACTTTGAACATTACACTGTCAACTTTACATGATGCAGGCCACATCTTAACTTTCACTATAATTGCTGTATTGAGTAAACAAAAATAGATGTATTTTATTCAGTGACTGAGATTAACTAAACAGAGATTTATTGAATGAGTGAGTGAAAACTCCTGTTAAAACTCCTATTTTCCTCAGAAACATATGGATGGTGTTTTTCACTTAATCTGGAATTATAGAGGCCTCACAAAGAAATTACAGATGTTACAATAAATAACATAGGCTTCAATTAAATATATTTGAATACACTTTTCAAATTATTTAATATTTTTAAGACACACTTTTAAAATATTCTTTTTATCAAAATATTCAAATAAAAAAAAAACTATATATATATAAAAAATATATCATTACATAAAATTGGCAAAATATTAAATTATTTTTCAAGATATATAAAACATTTATAAAAAAATGAATCCACATATGTTCCAGCAACTCGGAAATAAGTAAAATCCCTAGCACCTCACAAAATAAAAAAAAATAGGGATTTGAAAACCATAGGTTTTGAGTTTGTGTTACTCATAATTAGAGTATTCATGTCAAACTGCCCAGCTCCAGATGATGGATTGTGAGTTTTAAGTGTACTTGTGCACTTTGACACATACTGACAAACTAATCTGCACGTGTCAAAACACAAATTCACTCTTTGAACATATACAATCACACATTGCTGTAGGATCTCTAACACAGTTTCAGTTCCCCCAGCTGCTTTTAGTGAAGTAAAGGAAAACCAAAAATATTAGTCAAACATGGTTGCTGTTCTGCCCTTCAAAAGCACCTTCTGGGAAACATACTACAAGCCTCGAGTCTAGACTGTATTTTACCATCAGGAAGGTAGACAAGTAACTTTGTAGCATTAAAGAAACACTCGATGCACCAAAACTACCACAGTGGATTGTAGTGGTTATGGTGCCAGGAGTATCCTAGCACCCACATTGTTCACAGTCAGACTGTCTTAGAATGGTTAGATTTCTTACCTGGGATCTGCCGGGTACTGTCCCACTAAGCTACTAGTGAACAGACACTCTTGGCACCCCTGGTAAGAAGTCATATTGTTCTAAAAGGGTTTGACACTTACATTGGGTTGGGCACCATACTCCATACTCCCCCCTTCTACCCCCCTCCCCAAATGTCCATATTTACCTGGGACAGTTGCTATTTTGGTGCTAAATCCCTCTGTACCTCATTTCTATCCTAATATCCCCCTTTTTCAGGTACTCCATATTCTTGCAGTGTCTGAGTGTGTAACAAGTAATGTGCTTTTAAACTACATTAAATGTGTTTAGAAATCAGTCTGTGTAAATAAGATATTATGTTTTTGTTCCAAATGGCATTTTAATTGCCTAAATTGTTATTAGTGAGTCACCTAAATTTTCTCAGAACAGACCTGACCCTGGGCACACCACCACTCACACCCCTAAAATTCAAATGTCCATCTTTATCCGTTTATCTGTTCCTTTAATGGTACAAAGTTACTAGTTTAGCTACCTGAAGGTAAAATACAGTCAAAGGGCTTCTAGTAAAGTTTCCAGGTGAGGTTTTTTGGAAAGGGCAACAGCAACTATATCTGACCAATATAACAGTTCCATCACTAGTGTTTGCATTGTAGGAGCAGAGGCCAACATATTGTCTACATAACCTACTCCATGTATGAACTTTTATAGGGCAATTGTTACATGTAGATGCCATATGCTCAAGCTCCAGGTGTTTCTCGAACCTAACAACGCCCCTGCCTCTAGGCTTGAGCATTGCGTGAGTCCAAGCAGTAAAATATTAGTAAGATAAGGAAACACTTTTTGACATTTTAAGCAATAATTAGTAGTACACCTCACTAGCATAATGTGCTATGTTCTAGATGAGCAGGTTTATAATGTTTATAATGAGATAAAAAGGTCATAAAACTGGTCATCAATTATTTCCTGGTTCTATAAACCAGAAAAACCACAATTCTTTTTTCCACCGCTTATGTTTATATTTTCAGGAGAGCTGAGCACTTGAGAGTAGTTGCAGAACTCTTATATGAATTTGTGATTAATGTGCTTTTCGCAATAAACATACCAATTGGTTTAGAAATATAAATTCTAAGAAGCACTCTTATCTTATAAAGGAGCCCTCCAGCCACCAAAACAACTTCATCCAGTGGCGGACTGAGAGCCTTTGGGGCCCCCGGGCAAAATTAGATCCCAGGCCAAATATATGTGCATTAAATAAATGTTAAATATAACTCATATAACTCATAATATATAGATCCTTTGGATGTGTATATTGTGAAGACCTGTGTATCAATGCATGTTTGTATTTGAGTCTGTGTGAATGCACTTGTGCATGTCTGGATGACTACATGTGCTTTTTTGTATATAGTGTCTGTGTGAATGCATATGTGACAGGTGACAGAGTGTGTGAGGGAGAAGGTAACAGATGGAAGAGTGTGGGAGGTTGTGACAGGTGGCAGAGTGAGGGGGTACCTGGTGGCAGAGTGAGGGAGGGAGGGGTTGAGTGGTGGCAGAGTGAGGGGGAGACACAGTGAGTGGGGGTGACTGGTGACAGAGGGAGGGAGAGGGGGTGACTAGTGACAGAGTTAGGGAATGGGTGACTAGTGGCAGAGTGAGGGAGGGAGGGAAGAGATGACTAGTGGCAAAGTGAGGGAGGGAAGAGGTGACTAGTGACAGAGTGAGGGGATGACTGGTGACAGAGTGAGGGGATGACTAGTGACAGAGGGATGGAGTGACTAGTGACAGAGGGAGGGAGTGACTAGTGACAGAGTGAGGGGGGGGTGACTGTCACTAGTCACCCCATCCCTCTCTCTGTCACTAGTCACTCCCTCCCTAACTCTGTCACTGTGTCACCCGCTCCCTCACTCTGTTACTAGTCACCCCCTCACTTACTCTGTCACTAATCACCCCCTCTGTCCCTAGTCACCCCCTTCCTCACTCTGTCACTAGTCACCCCATCCCTCTCTCTGTCACTAGTCACTCCCTCCCTAACTCTGTCACTGTGAAGGAAGGAAGGGGTGACTGGTGACATAGTGAGGGGATGACTGGTGACAGAGTGAGGGAAGGGATAACTAGTGGCAGAGTGAGGGAAGGAAGGGATGACTGGTGACAGAGTGAGGGAAGGAAGGGATGACTGGTGACAGAGTGAGAGAGGGGGTGACTAGTGACAGAGTGAGGGAGGGAGTGGGTGACTAGTGACAGAGTGAGGAAGGGGGTGACACAGTGAAAGAGTGAGGAAGGGGGTGACACAGTGAAAGAGTGAGGAAGGGGGTGACACAGTGACAGAGTGAGGGAGGGGGTGACTAGTGACAGAGTGAAGGAGGTGGTGACTGTCACTAATCACCACCTCCCTCACTCTGTCATAGTCACCCCTTCCCTCCCTCACTGTCACTAGTCACCCCCTCCCTCTCTCTGTCACTAGTCACCCCTCCCTCTCTCTGTCACTGGTCACACCCTTCCTCACTCTGTCACTAATCACACCCTCCTTCACTATGTCACTAGTCACACCCTTCCTCACTGTCACTAGTCACACCCTCCCTCTCTCTGTCACTAGTCACACCCTCCCTCACTCTGTCACTAGAGTGAGGGGGTGATTAGTGACAGAGTGAGGGGGTGACTAGTGACAGAGTGAGGGGGTGACAGGTGACAGAGTGAGGGAAGGGGTGACTAGTGGCAGAGTGAGGGAAGGAAGGGGTTACTAGTGACAGAGTGAGGGGATGACTGGTGACAGAGTGAGGGATGGAATGGGTGACCAGTGACAGAGGGAGGGAGGGAGTGGGTGACCAGTGATAGAGGGAGGGGGTGACACAGTGACAGAGTGAGGGAGGTGGTGACTAGTAACAGAGTGAGGGAGGTGGTGACTGTCACTAGTCACCCCCTTCCTCACTCTGTCACTAGTCACCCCTTCCCTCCCTAACTCTGTCACTAGTCACCCCCTCCCTCACTCTGTCACTAGTCACAGCCTCCCTCACTCTGTCACTAGAGTGAGGGGGTGACTAGTGGCAGAGTGAGGGATGGAAGGGGAGACTAGTGACAGAGTGAGGGAGGTGGTGACTGTCACTAGTCACCACCTCCCTCACCCTGTCACTAGTCACCACCTCCCTCTGTCACTACTACCTCCCTCCTTCTGTTACTAGTCACCCCCTCCGTCCCTTACTCTGTCACTAGTCACCCCCTCCCTCACTCGGTCACCAGTCATCCCCTCCCTCTGTCACCTGTCACGCCCTCACTCTGTCACTAGTCACCCCCTCACTCTAGTGACAGAGTGAGGGTGTGACTAGTGACAGAGTGAGGGAGGGGGTGACTAGTGACAGAGTTAGGGAGGGAAGGGGTGACTAGTGACAGAGTGAGGAAGGGGTTGACTAGTGACAGAGGGAGGGGTGACTAGGGACAGAGTGAGGGAGGTGGTGACTAGTGACAGAGAGACGGAGGGGGTGACTAGTGACAGTAAGGAAGGGGATGACTAGTGACAGAGTGAGAGAGGGGGTGACTAGTGACAGAGTGAGGGAGAGGGTGACTAGTGACAGAGTGAGGGAGTGATTAGTGACAGAGTGAGGGAGGGAATGGGTGACTAGTGACAGAGTGAGGGAGGGGTGACTAGTGACGGGGGGGTGACTAGTGAGGGAGGGTGTGACTAGTGACAGAATGAGGGAGTGGGTGACTAGTGACAGAGGGAGGGAGATGGTGACTAGTGACAGAGGGAGGGAGGTGGTGACTGTCACTAGTCACCCCATCCCTCCCTCTGTCACTAGTCACTCCCTCCCTAACTCTGTCACTAGTCATCCCCTCACTCTGTCACTAGTCACCCACTCCTGCACTCTGTCACTAGTCACCCCCTCCCTCTGTCACTGTGTCACCCCATCCCTCCCTCTGTCACTGTGTCACCCCATCCCTCCCTCTGTCACTAGTCATCCCCTCCCTCACTCTGTCACCCCCTCCCTCTGTCACTAGTCACCCTCTCCCTCACACTGTCACTAGAGTGAGTGGGTGACTAGTGACAGAGTGAGGGAGGGGATGACCAGTGACAGAGGGAGGGGGTGACCAGGGCCGCCATCAGGGCATGACAACCGTAACGGTTGTCATGGGCCCGGCAGTCCTGGGGGGCCCAGACTGCTCAGGTCGTCCGGGCCCCACATTCAGTGGGCACATATTGGGTCGCAGGGGGCCCTGCGACCCCGTTATGTATCCACTGGGCCAGCCTCTTCTCCTGCGGAGCCCAGAAGCCTTCAAATTCAAATTTCCTTCCCCTCCCTCAAATTTCCTTCCTCTCCCCCCCCTCAAATTTCCTTCCTCTCCCCCCATCAAATTTCCTTCCTCTTCCTCCACTCCCTCAAATTCCCTTCCTTTCTCTCCCCTCAAATTTCCTGCCTTCCTCTCCCCCCTCCCTCAAATTTCCTTCCACTCCCCCCCTCAAATTTTTTCCTCTCCCTCAAATTTCCCTTCCCTCTCCCTTCCTCTTCCTTCCCTTTCCCTCTCCCCCATCAAATTTCCTCCCTTCCTCTCCCCCCCTCCCTCAAATTTCCTTCCTCTCCCCCTGACACCCGGCGGGCGGGCAAGGGAGCACTCTCCTCTGTGTGCTTCCTCTTCAGCGCCCTCGCGCACCATACTGATGCCGGAAGATGACGTCATCTTCCGGCGCTGGCATCAGTACGCGGGGGGGGGGGTGATTTACAGAGCCCGAGTGGTCAGTCCACCCCTGACTTCATCTAAATTAAGTAATGTTGCCAGGTGGCTCCTTGTTGCACTCTCACCATCAGTTCAAGAGCGATTTAACCCCAAAGTTGCCTCCAGTGCCGATCTCAGCTCCCCCTAATGGTATCTGGCTTTTGAAATGTCACTTTCTGGGCAGGGAAGCTGCTGATTGGTTGAGAGCCAATGAGCGACTGACACTGTCAGCCAATCAGTGACTCTCCACTTACAAAACTGGCTGGCATTTTGTGAATGGGGAGTCACTGATTGTCAATCAGCGGCGCCCATGTCCAGAAGTGAAATGTCAAAAGGCGAATGCCGCCTACGGGGTTGCCCCTATACCGGTGCTAAAAGCAACATTGGTGTTAAACCATTCGAGAATGTATTTTTTCCCTGAAGGTGAGAGTACATCTAGGGGCCTCCTGGCACCATAACAACTTAATTATGTGAAGTTGCGATGGTTCCATAAACCTCCTAAACTGTCCCTTTAAATTTGCCTCCTTGTGTGGGTGCAGTCTGGTGTGGATGTTCTTATTCTCGATGACCCACGGAAAACACATAGGAAAGCCCTACATTGCATAAGATCTATGGAGGATCTCACAGAGTTGTAGAACATTCCATTGACTCCTGTTTTGTATTTTCAGACATGCGCAGAAGCACAACAGTGATGTAGATCCTGTGACTTCATGTGCCATTAAATTAATACTGTGGTTTGTCAAAAGGCGGCAGTTCCAAGAATGGAGAGTTAAGGGTAAATATGCCTCTCATCCCCCTCCACCACCTGATACCACCAAACCACATTGTGGACAGACACAGATGTGAAGCAGATAAGGCTAATACTATGCCTACTAATTACTTAGTGGTGCTTTAAAACAATGACCCTATAGCCAAGTGCCTAGCACAGTGATAACCAAAAGGAACAAACTAAGCAACATAACCACTACTGACATTCTCAGATAATTAATTCAAAATAATATCTCTAATGTCGAAGTAGGAACGTCCGGTTTCATGATACGTAAGAGCTGGTCCATACCGTGGACAGTTGGGGGTTCAAGGCAGGTGTCAAACCTGCCTGAAGTGGTTTCCCCCACTTACTTGGTAGGAGGTGCCAAGGGAGTTCTGGCACTATAACCAGTATAGCACTCTATAGTTGTTATGATGTTTTGAGTGCCCCTTTAACATTTATTCTAGCAGCTACAGTAACAAAGATTATCCATCAACTGTGTCTGGTCACTTTGGAATGTATAGAATTATGACAGATTCACTTGTAGTTAAGCAGTGTGCACTGTTCAAGACATTTCTGCTGCCAAAAATTACTTTCAGTTCTCTTTTACATAAGCCCAGACACTGTGGAAATTTTTGTTTTGATCTAGAGCGTAATAAGCTTTTGCAGTTTAGATAAAGATAACAATCAGCTAATTTGACAGAATCTGGAAGATCATATTAACTTTCCCAAAGAACACTGTGAACTACTGGAGACCTGGTGTTTTTGTTGAACTTTGAATCTGTAACGTCACAGGGTGAGGCACTGTCACACCTTTAGATAGCATTACACTGGTTTAACCCAAGCAGTGCCTTTAGCAACTGCAAAGGGTTGGCCATCTCCAGTAAACATTGTAGAAAGTGACAGAAGAGTAACTTTACCGAGTGGTTTACGCCCTGTCTTCAATACTCTTAGTCTGCAAAGTATATATTTGTTTTGTAACATTAAACCATTAAAAGAAAAAACAAAACAAAGAATAACAGGATACTTATTGCTAATGGCCCCTAGGCTTTTTTAACATACAATACATATTTATATCTACATGTATATATATATATATATATCCTTTTAATGATATAGGTGCCAGGGGGAAGTTCAACACACTGAAAGCCCTACATTTATTTACTCAACTAACAAATTATCAAGGACATATGGCATGTCAGCCATTTTGGGGCCTGCTTGTGATTCTGTTGTTGAGTTTCTGGGCAGATATCACTCCAAGAGCTCGTTTACAATCTTGTCACTACTTATCGACCACCAGCCGCTACTTTCTAAAATGCCTGTCGCTATTTTTGAAGAATAGTGGCTGCTTACCGACTCCCAGCTTTCAGAACTAGCAAGAGAGAGTTAGCAGCCGCCACTAGAGAAGTTCTGTCACTAAGCAGCGGCTAGTGGCTGCCATTAGTCTCTATGGGAAACATTACCCTCTACTTAATCAGTTTCTGACTGGTTAACAATCCTGTCACTACTCATTATTACCAGCTGCCACTAACTAACCCAAAAACGTGAAAGCTGTTATTAGTGGTAGGCTAGCAGCAACACATTTATAAACCTGTAATTAATTTGTAGCGAGTACAAGCTATTGGCTATTGTTTACAGTGACAGCTTGTGACTGCTATTTACTGACAATATTGTAATTGAGCCACAAAATAGAGTTATTTTTTTCTAACACATGGTCTACTGTTTTCTATTTCACATGCCACAAGATTGCAATGGTATTTAAGATCAACTAATGACAGGGCCCCACATCGTATCATTTTCTTTATTTGTCCTCATGTCCTGTCGTCTACAGAAGTGGTCTCAAAGTTGTTTTAGATTGAGGAACTGGTGAACTTTATTCTTTAGATCTCCCTTACTAGAGAGATATATCTATTTCTAACCAAAGAGATAGTATTTAGTTAATACTGATATTAACTAAAAACACATTTTTATTTTAAGGCCTGCATGCAACCAGTCAGGTCTAATATCAATATGTTTTTGAGGTAACTTGAGTCACACCACAGTAGACTGGTTGTAAATGACTGGTCTACTGTAAGTGTATAGATCAATTAAAACGCATGGCTATCCCTCTTTACATACGGAATAAGAAAGGGAACATATTTTGTTTGATTTTGGTTTATAATGGTATGTTCTTACAAAAACAGTAATGTTTTGTAACCTATAAAAGTCAATGTATTATGCCCACTTGACTTGATAGGAAACATTTATGACTTCTATATATGTCACGTCTAATTAACCCACTATAATGAAAGAGTTTAAGCTAGAAAACACATGGTGTATACTTCATCACTCATGACACTTAGCTCTTAGACCCCCGACAGATAACTGACCCCAGGTTACAAACGACCAACTGGGGGAGACATACCGACAAGTGCCGGGTAGGCTTACACACCATAAGGGCTGCAGGCTCGCAAAATACCCATGCAACAAGGGGACTGCAATGCATATACGTGCCCACAACCCAGACGTCTAGCTGTTCCACCGTAAGGGTTCACCGCTTTGGGTAGCGCTCACTAACCAGGCTAATAT